TATAGGAAAATTTAAGTACACAAGCTCAAACTCTAAAACGATATTTGCGAAAAGATTATTCTACGAAACTTACTATTAATCCATTAGGCCAAGCTGTTCATAACCCTTGTATAAGTCATTGTCTACAACATGCATTTGGAAATTGCAATTTAGTTCACCCAGAAATATGCGAGGATTGTGAAAAGCTATTTACTTTTTTTGATGAAATAAAAACCAACACACCCCTTGAAATTCATGAACTTTTAAATGAGTATCAAACTAAACTTGTATATTTTCAAGCTCATCATGCACGGAAAACATACCTTAATGCTCAACTAAGTGCTAACCTTGCACAACTTGATTCAGATGGTGCGTTGATCATTGTTGACTACAAGATGAAAATCTTGTGCCAAAAATCTAGAGAAACCAAGGCTGAATTTTTTGGCAAACGTGGATGGTCACTCCATTTAGTCTTAATGTATATGAAGGATTCTGATAGTAGTAAAATTAATATTCACGCATTTGATTATTGGAGTAACGATAGTAAACAAGACGCCTGGTTTACAGCGTCTTCGCTTTATGGTGTGCTAGAAACAATCGAAATAAAACCAAAGTGGATTAGTATTTTTTCTGATAATAGACCGCATTATCACAATACAGAATTAATGATAATCATAGCTCATTAGAAAAAGTGGTATGGTATTTCAGTGCGTAAATGGATCTTTCTTGAGGCCGGTGAAGCGAAAACAGCAATTGATTCACATCATGCCCAGGTATAAACAAATTTTCATTTTCGTAATTAGTAGGTTGTTAATAGATTTGGTTGAGTTGATCCAACTTTCAATCTACTATATTAAATTAACCTCGCTTCAGTTTTATCTGGGCTACTCCAGGCCTAGTCTAAGTTGCTTCAAATTTATAGCCTTATTTTTTTAAACCCACTCCTACTTAAGCTGTGTTCGGTCTGGAGTAACTTCAGAATCTTATTTCATTAATAAGCGGAAATGAAGTTTCTGCTAATCCCCAATGGGATCAGGATATTATTATTACTAACACTCTAATAACTAGTACACCCTAATCAATTATTACTATCTGGTCAGTTAACACACACTATAAAACGATGTGTAAAAATGGGTCACGATATTGAATCGGGTGAGGAAATACAAGAGGCAATAAAAGACTTGGCAGGCACTCACGTTGCTAATATCATGCCTAATCGCGAAGGTTTGCGTATTTTTGCATCTAATTTTAAATAACAACAGATACAAGTATTAATTAAACTAAACTAAATAAAGAAAATAAAAAACTGGGAACGATACATGGAATTTCTAATTGGCACGAATGGACTTGGCCAGATGAAGGAGAGGATGCA